TCATGCCACTAGACCACACAGCCGACCCTTTAGAATTGCATTTGAGGGATAGAATTTCAGCACGGCGCAGGTGGCAGCTGCAAGATTGGAACTCTTGTTCCGGCTGAGCCGTCCTCTTACCTTTCGTCGCTACCTTTGTGCGTATAAGGGCAGTCAGAAGAACGCCATGGCAATCAAAGACCACTTCAAGGGAGGATACTTGCCCTGCTTGTGCGGCTTTCATAGTCCAACACCACAATCGTCTTCTAGTGCATGTGACAAAAGGAAGCCTTCGTGTGATATCAGCGAGGATGCTCCGCCCGCCAAGGTGGCCAAAACCGATGACTGCGAAGTGAAGACGTTAGAAGGAGCTACTGGTAGTAACGGGCCTCAACGCCCTCTGGCGGCAGAGAGCAGAGTCATTGCCCCTTTATCGAAGGGCTACCAGTCGTTGAATATGACCGAGCTGAGGGCTATAGGTATTGGTTGGGCGCCTGAAAAGCCCGGTTTTCTTCGACATTTCGTGTGGGCACCACTAAATGGCCGGTGTTTTTATTGTGGAAGTTTGCGCATCTCAGCGAACTCGACCGGTCGAACCAAAACCGCTTACACCCTGGGGCTGCCTTATGGGCTGCAGAATATGGGGATCAGATGTGTTAGCTGCAAAAAGAACTGGGTATCTACCGACGAGAGATACATCAGCGGTCTGGATGCTACTACCCAGTGCCGTCAACAGTTCATTACCCACGGTTCTGCAAACGCAGCGGACGAATCTTTGGTGAAGCTTCTCAGAGAATCGAGTGTCGCGAGTGTGCACCGTATAGTAGAGGGTGCAGTATGGAGTGAGTATCTTAAGTCCAAGGCAGCGTTCGAGAGCATGCGACGAAACAGAATAGCACTTCGTCTAGAAGCGGCGAATCTCATTGAAGGTTTCCCAGCATTTGATAAGGGGTTTATCCCGAGTCAGCGCTTCCTAGTGGCCGTATTACTTTGGGATTATGAAAAAATAGAATCTACCTACGTAGAGAGCTGCGCCAGGTCACAAGCGAGTATGCCCTGAGCTGCGACTGCCAACGAGGAGTTATTAAAAAAACAAGAGGTAACTTAGGGTGGTAATATTGGTGGAACCTAGTTGGTCTCAATACCTTAGGTAAGGACATAATTGGTTCATCAGGCCAAACGGCCACTGTCATTGGCGATCATAACTTGTGCCTAAATATTGTCGCCATTCCCAGCACCAGCGAGTCATGGCTGGGAAATCTCTTCAAAGAGATCTCTAGCAGACATCAGGGAAGGCCACCAAAAAGATTATATCTTGATTTCGCATGTTGTAGCGGCAAGGAGGGAGTGAGGGCAATACCCCGAGAAGGTTGGAAGAGAGAGTATCAAGTGGTTTTAGATGGTGCGCACTTAATAATGAGAGTGGGCCGTCAAGTGCCCGCCGAAAACCCCCGACGCGCAGAGTTTTTAAAAGCCCTTAGTCGGGCTATTTACCAATGTCATCCCTTGGACATACAGCTCCTCACTGAGGCCAAAAAAGCAGTTGGCGATGATGAACCTATAACTCGGAAAGAAAAGTGTCGATTCGTTCGAAGAATCATAGGCGATGGAAAAGAAACGGCTGACCGCGTGAAAAGAGTTGTGGAGAGTTATCAACTGGCAGATCAGGCGGCTCATTTAAATTTGAAAAAAACGTGTCATGAATCAAGGTCGTCCGCTGACGCTACATCACCCATTATCACGAAAAAGGTAATACCACGAAATTACACTAATATTTGATATTTACTTGGTAGTACTTTAGGTATTAAAAGTAGTCCAGCAGCAGCTAGTTCATCTGAGGAACGGCTGCTGTCAAGATGATCTCACCAATCCCCCCTACCGGGCCATCGGGAATGTTCGGTTTAGGGGGAGTGCCCATTCATTAGTTGAGTATCAGTCCCTTAGGGGGACATCAAAAAATGAATGCATGCACTCCGTGCTTACCAAAACGTTCGCGTCATGGAATGGCTTAACAGCGACCGTTTACGATTGCCGGCTATCTTGGCTGATATCCAAATTTAATAGAAAAAGGATGATAGTTCTAAAAAAGAAAGTCCCTCCGCTCGCTCTGACCGCTCGCGAAATCGAGCTTTATATTGCAGCGGGGGCTCTGGACGCGGCCGAGTTTCCAGACTATAGTCTGGCACATAAAGACAGCGAGCTCCCTCTAGTTGGATTCGAGTATGGTCGGCAGTGCAGTATCAGCATAACGACTGATGTGGGGGAACCTACTCGTCCTCTTGATTCATTCCCGGAGATGATGAGTGAAGACGACCTCAAGGAGGAAGATTTAGTTGCAGTTTTGGATATGGAGGAATTGTGGGAGGGAAAAGACATGACATCTGATTCTCCAGGGACAGGTACACCCTTCATGACCCTCTTAGAGCCTCAAGAAGTCATTATTAGATACAGAAGAAGGTGATCTTGATGATATGGCGATGAATGAACTTTCCCTGCTGGCTGAGAAGAAAGCCGAGAATGCAGCTTTTGAGAGCCCAACTCGGAGCATTCCATCTGATGAATGTCTTTTCGGGTGTTTGACTGAAACCAGGACGCCTCGAAATGTAGCGAAAAGGAGAGCGTTAACCTCGTCGCCTGGAGGGGTCTCGCCGTCTTTTAATGACGAAATGCAGACTATATGCTTGAAGGTTTTGAACGAGTTCGCCAGCTCTCATCGTGGTGATAGCTTAACGAAGAAATGCCTGGCACGGTACAATGACTTCAAGCATCAGCGAATATGCCTTTCTCGTACCGACGGAGTAGCCGCTCCAGCCTTGCTTGATGTAACATACGGTATGGCAGACGTGTGGATAAAGAAGCAGCTCAAACTTCACTCTTTACCAGCGAGAGAGTCAATGTTCGATGCTACCACGAGGAGTGAGATGATGCACCTCCACAATACGCTATCTGCTGTTTCATCCTCGTGCGAGGCGGCCTTGCAAGAACCAGTCAAAGCCGCTGATGTCAAGATTTTAACTTCATGCTTTGATGGAGGGCCAAAAGCTATTACTAGCAAAGAGGTCCACCAGGAAGTCTTGAAATCTCGCGGTGACGCTTCTGAGCATCGCTCAACAGGCGAGCGACGAGATGAGAAGAAAGACGAAGACCTATGTCCTTACTGTGGTCTCCCGCCAGACGAGAATGCACATAAGTATGATGGCCGCTCCCATAAATATGGCTTATGCCCGATGAAGCCAGCGGTGGATCAATCTAATGTAACCAGGAAGGAACGCATACATGTGCAGCCTGGAATGGAGGAGAGAAGGCGCAGAGCACAAGCGAACTTGCAACTGCTCGGAGGACTATCTTGTGAGGGGAAGGAAAACGGTAGGCGGCAGAGGTCGTGCAGCGTTTGCGACCAGCTGTGGGCTTCAACCTTCCATGGTATACACCACCAGTACATCGGTCGAGGGGCGGGTGCTACATTTTGCCCGTTCGCCGATCCCGTCACTGTCCTTGACGACTATCTACGGAAGAAGCAGGAGAAGAAGCGAGAGTATTGGCGAGGCCAGAATGCCAAGCGGAGAGAGAGGGCACTAGTATCACTGGATGCGTGCAGGAGTCGTAGTGAGACTGCAGATGTGCAGCAAGAACAGTAGCTCGGAGCTACTAGCTCCGTTCTCACCGTAGAACAGCCCTACCAGGGCTTTTAATGCATGATAAGTTTGCATGATACGAACAGTGTTATGTTATCGTCTTTTTTCTTCCTTCTCTTTTCTTTTCTTTTTTTTCTCTTTCTCCCCCTTTTTCCTTTCTTTCTCTCTCTCTTTCCCCTTTTTCTTTTCCCCCGGTGCCGTCAGGATCTTTCCAAGATGATCCAATCATCTTGCCAAGAGCTTGGTCCCATTATGAGACGCTGTGACTGTTAACCAAAAAGCTGTCGGCTCTAACCATCGGAGTAACTTGATACTTTAACATTCAACCAGTACCCAATCCTTGCAAATTAAGGGCTGAGCCGAGAATCGAACTCGGGACCTCGTGCACCCGAATCGCGAATCATGCCACTAGACCACACAGCCGACCCTTTAGAATTGCATTTGAGGGATAGAATTTCAGCACGGCACAGGTGACAGCTGCAAGATTGGAACTCTTGTTCCGGCTGAGCCGTCCTCTAACCTTTCGTCGCTCAAATTCAGAGGAAATCGTGCATGAACTGTCCAAAACTCCTTAGTTTACGAGTTTAGGTTCCTATCGTCTAGTACCTATGATGTCATGGTGTGCGCGTGCCAAGCCCGG